CTTATTTTTCAATTTTATGTCAGTAATAACATTTTGTTGATCTATCTGGGCTTTTAGCATTGTATACATGATGAAGCTAATTGGGATATTATTAAAGACACTAAGCATTTCTTTTAATCGTCAACATAAAAGGCAGATTCCTTTATTAGAGTCATAATTCTTGAATTCATGGTTACAGGCAAGATAAAAGAATAATACTCATGAGCTCAGCCTTGCATCTGTAATAAAAGCAATATATGAAAAAGCAAGCTTGGCAGCAGCAGGTCAATGCCATGGGCACTTCGGTCTGGACAACTTGGTCTTGGTGGGGGTGTGAACTTGTTATTGGAAAATTTCTGGAAGATACAGATGTCCATATTTGAAATATGGGCACTAGCCATAATAAACTGGCACCAGAAATAGTAAAGGCTAAGTGAATGATAAAATATCATTATGTCATGATGGTAGGAAAACATTTAAAACCCACATTGAAGGCCATAATTCATAATGTAAGGGTACACTCTACTAAGTTTAGGAATCTCTCTTCTGAGGAAAAAGTATAGAATGACAAGTTAGATGCTCTTCTGCTTTCTGAGGACTATGTAGTCCTGCAGAGCATAAGCAAGAGCAATGAGGGCACATCAGAGACACTAACTACAGTGCCTCTGTCAGGGACCATGGGGAGGTAACCCCCTGTGGGTTTTGGAGAGGCTTTGATGAAAGACTTGGCACAAAAAATGTGGGGCCCAGCTGCGGCACAAAAGCTCTTATAGAAAAGAGGCTGGGCAGGAGAACTGCTACTCATTATGACCTCTGGTGAGTGCCAAGGACATGTCTCTAGAAAGTAAGACTGTTTTAGGGTCATGCCATCAACTGTGACAAAAGGGTGACTTTTCCTACCTCTATGGCTACTTTATGACTCATTTTTAATGAGAAACTCTTGTTTCAGACCATTATTTAACTTAGCTGTAGCAGTGACCACAAACTTTTAGGTGTAACTAACATGAAAATAAATTGTTGTGTTCTATTGTGTTTCATTCACATAGTTAGAGCTAAATCAGTGTAGACTTCTGTGCAAATCAAGACATTTTTGAATGTTCTGGGAGAAAAAAATGGAAGGTAGGTTCATGACCAGACTGTTTGACTATTTCCTAGAGTTTTAGCTCATGAAAAAGCTGGGCTTGTGTGGATGTGGGTCTGACATCTCTTTGAGGCTCTCAATGGAATGGTCTTATTTGCTAAGTTTTTGTGAAGAGACAATGTCATCCTTCCTCATTGTGTCCTCTCTCTCAACTTCAAGTTAACCAAATCTTGATGGAGATGAAGGTGATGAGGTGTCCAGAAAACCATTGCTGAAAAGGGAGAGTTAAAGGCACTGGAAATACTTAAATTAGTCTGGGCAATACACATGTTAGGTCTCTTCAAATCTATGGAGGCTGTTGAATAACCACAAACTATATACCTCAATATATTTTTCAGAAAGAAAAAAATGATGATCAAGACACTGAGAATTTCTTTGAAACCAGAATAATATTAATCAGGAAGTTTCTCTCTTTTCTGAGATTTGTTGGGGTAAGTGCTCTCGTTATATCTTACTGCATTACAGATTACCTCAAACATGATGGCTTTAAAACAATAACCATTTAACATATCTCATAATTTTGTTAGTCAAGAATTTGGGCAAGGAGTGGCAGAGCGAGTCTTCTGCTCTCAGTGGTATTGACTGAGGTCACTTGATGGCATTCAGCTGGCAGATGGACTGGTCTGGAGGGCCGAGGATGGCTTCATTTTCATGCCTGGTGCCTTGGAAAAGATAGCTGGAAGGCTGAGCTGAGCAAGGATAGTTGACCAGAGCATCTACATGTAGATTCTCCAATATGGCATTTTCAAAGTAGATGAGCTTTCACATGGAAGCTCAGGACTTCCATGGAGAGGATTTCAAGAGACAAGGAGTGAAAGCTGCCAGTTTCCCAAGGCCTAGGCTGAGAACTGATACCACATTCCAACCATCAAAGCAATCATAGAGCTACCTAGAATCAAAGGGAAGGGAGGAAATTTGGACAGTACCTCTCAGTTGGAGGAGTAAAGATATTTTATGGTTATCAATAACTCTATCACTTGCTTTTATTAATAGAAATACTTACTATGACCCTTTACATTTGATTAGTTTCAGTAATGGTAAAATATTGCTTAGATAATTATTGAAGTCCTAGAATGATGATTTATTAATGTGAAATGGGAGTTTAAGAATTGTATCAGCAGTAAGCTTACCAAGCATCTTTTTAAAAATGTCCATTGTCTTTGGAGTTAGAAAATGCTCATTGTAACTCCTGGCGACTGAGATGAGCACAATTTCATAGTAAGTTTTCCTCCTGCAACTAAGGAGCTTTTTCCCGTCCCTCTTCTCATTTATTTATGTGTTTGTTTTTAAAGGATATCTGACAGGCACACTCAAAATATGTTGTTGTTATTGTTGTTTTCATTTTTTGAATAGTCTTATGAAAGCAAAATGGAACCTAAATTAGGCTCTAGTTGAGGTACTAGAACAGAAGGAAAACCTTGTCCTAAGATGGAAAGAAGTGTCTCTAGAAGCAGTTGGAGTTCTTGAGTTCTGAGTTGCAGACCTTTGCCTTTAAGGCAGAAGTGCACATGGCCCTCTGAAAAAGATTCTGAGTTGTTAGCACTCCTTACTCACAGTAATTCCATGGCTGCCCAAATGTTAGCCTCTAGAAAGTTGTCTGTCACACACTTGTATCAGTTTTTGGAAAGGGCAGCTCCCCTCACTACCTTTTCCACTTTGTCTACATCTTATTTCCCATATTCAAACCCAAATATAGCCACACCCTGACCTTGTACCTCTCTCACTTACCTGAGTTAGGCATTCGACCCATACTCTCTTGGCCTTGACCCACCTATAGTTTTTAGTTCTGAATCCAGTGTGTTAGCTTCCCTCAATGGCACGGCCTACAAGGAACAAATTCGCATTCATGGGAGTGCTCCAGCTATGACCCATACCTGCATTTCTTGGCTAGAAATCTTTGCAGATACTTCCTCATGCATGATCTCGTGAATCATTATGGTGAATATGGAAAACTGTGCCTCTGCTTGTGGATATTTTCTCTCTTGTCATACTCAGCTAATTGAAGTTCTCTAAAAGGGCCATGTTCTTCCTGTCCTCTAAGCTGTGACACAAACTCTTCTCTGCCAAATGATCTCCAACCTACCTCCTATTCTTTTTTTTTAAGATTATATTTAAATCTTTTCCATATTCTTGCAGATTTTGGGGGAGTCTTTTTCATGCATCTTTTTCTGTTTATTTCTGTGGTACTCTGGACACACTTGTATTAACATATCTATCCTTTTGTACTTTATTTATGTATCTGGCTCCTCCTCCTCTGGCTTGTGAACTCTTCCTGGGTAGGGACCACAGAGTTTCCATCTTTGAATCCCCAAGCTCTAGTATGATGCTTAATATTCAATAAATACTTTCTAAATTCATTCCTGAATACATTTATTAATGAATGGTTGGGTCATTAGATGGATGATTGGAATAAAGAATGGACAAGTGGCTGGAAGGCTGGCTGGCTCGCTGAATTGTGGGGGGATGGCTGAACGGTAGAAAAAGTGAGTGAATGGATGGTTGAGTTGAGTACTTATCAATTTGTAATAATATTGGATGGATGTTCATAAATGAGCTTATGCCTAGAATTCTATGATTTTTAATTGCCAATGAGTCTAGCACAAACTTCATTTCCCCCATATCACTAGTATATCTAAGTGCACATTTTTGTCTGTTATACTACAATTCTTCAAAAAGCCCTGAAGTTGATTTTAAATCAGCATTCTTAAAACTTTGGAGACAAGAAATTTAGAGTGCACAGAAATCCAGAGGTTGCTTTCACTGCCTACTCCCACCCCAGTTAATTTGCCACAATATATGGCTTCTTAGTCCTTTTTTAAGTTCCTCATCAACAGTTTGGAAATAATTACATTACTCCTTTTACAGGTTGGTGAAGTAAAATTATTTGAAGAAACATCACTTTTTTTGTAATATCTATCTATCTATCTATCTATCTATCTATCTATCTATCTATCTATCTTATCTATCTACCTACCTATCTATCATCATCTATCATCTATCTACCTAGTTTTGTATGTGTTATTGTTAAGGCTTTCTTCATATGTCCCTCAGAAAATCCATGTGGAAATGTAAGTATTATTACCCTCTTTAGTTATTGAAACTATAAACACAAATAAGGATTTGTTCAGAAGCACAGAAGACTAGCACAGGCAGAAACTAGGATTCAGAATCTCTGCTGCTATCTGTGATACATTGCTTACCGTTGCCAAATACAATTTGTAGAGCAACAGTGTTATTACATAGTGTAGAATCCCAGCTATCAAAAGAGTTAGGCTGGATCTAAGGTAGGCATAGCAAATGGATTTTGTGTACCAACTCCAAATTAGTTGGTAACAGCTTCCTGGAGTACTGTACTGTGTTGAGAAGGACTTGGAGGTTCTGTCTGAGCTACAATTGTTTAGTGATAACTGCCATAAATCAAGGCTCCCCTGTGAATATTTGCCATATATTTTTTATCTCTGTTTTAAGACCACAAAAGGTGTTCATTATGTTAGATATTTGATAGGTATTCATGCTGGCTTGTCCACTGATTCACCCTAATGATTCATGAGATCATTCATGAAAGTTTCTGCAGATATTTTGAAGTTTCTAGAAGCTAGTTTTTGAACTAAATATGTAAATATCCTACTTCTGTGGATGTGGTTAAAATGTAGAGAGAGCAGTGAAGAAAGCTAACTGTGACATCAATAACTATTAGAGTCATATTTTTGAAAGGGGAGATGCTTGTTTTCCTATCCAGGTGGATAATACACTGCTAAAGGAGGGTGACTCATTGAGCAGTAGTGATTAGTAGTATGTTGTATTGAAAATTCAAAGCATTCACTTCTGTGCAGATGCAAATACAATCAGATTAACTTTATTTTAAGCTTTGATTACATTCTAGATAATAAGAACATACTATGTTAAGCCAGTTTAACAGTCTAGCAAAATGCATTTAATTTTAAAATTGGATATTGGAAGGCTTGGCAAATGCTGGGTGATTACTTAATAGAGTTAGTATGGTGTTCCTATGGGGACCAGCTACCCTCATGGATTCCTGGCGCTGAAGGCTCAGGAATAGTCTCGAAGGCTTGAAATGTGGTTATATAGACCAGAGAATTCCACTCTTGTTTCTCCCTCAGGTTTGTTCCTGCTGTTTTTTTATTTGTTAAGAATCACAATCTATTGATCTAACTCACACCCTAGGCATACCAGTGGATAATTCTGACCATGAATCAGTCTTGCAAATAAATACCCAGCAGGCTTGTCTGTTGAAACCTTGGAGCACAATACAAATGATAGGGTCTGCAGTACTGCTGGCTATTTGCAAGGTGGATTTTACCTCTCAGCACCTGAGTGATGGGCTGAGGTCTCCACATGGGTAATGTGAAGGACACGAGAGACTTAGTGGCTGCCCATCCTCCCACATGCTTGGTCACTTACTCTGCCAGCTTATCCAAATTGTTGGGCTTATTCTTATTCTATCTCTAAAAATGTACCTGGGTCTGAATCAGTACGCAAAGATGATCCTGTAGAGACAGGTGAAGTATAATCACTAATTAAAGAGACTAATTCCTCAGTCCTCCCGTCCCAAGCCAGCCTCATCACTTTATAGTACAGGCATACTTACATTTTTTTACAAATTGAAGGCAAGACCCTCCACCACCACAAAGATTACAATTTGTTTTATTGGGATAATCACTTAGTGAGGCAGTCCGGAGTGGAACCTGCAACGCCCCTGAAATATGCCTGTACCACAGCCCAGAAAGGGTTAAAGTAAGGGCTATTGGTCCCTGCTCATCAGGCCATGGTGTGACACCTCCTATAAAGGGCACCATAAAACTACATTATTTAATAGATATAAATATTGCACCTGCTTTCTTAGCTCCTCCTAGATGATTAAGTTTCTCAAAAATGCAATTTGTTAATATGGGGCCACATCTTTTCACAAGGTAAATCTGTGAAATTTGGCAGGCAGTTGCTTTGCTGCAGGTGCAAGATGAAAGACCTCTCCCTGGCTTTGCCAAGAAGACAAATGATGTTGTACTCAATCCATGGGAAAAATACTCTGACATAGAGGGCAGAGCCTGTTTCTATGAAAGGAGAATAGAATGCTAGGGCTCAACTCATGTGCTTCCCTCATTTGGGGGGAGTATGTTACACTTAAAGGCTGAATGCGGGACCAGAAGTCTTACATGAGGCCAGGTATTAAGCGAATCCACTTTCTAAGGGAATCCTCTGATATTTGAAGCTGCAGCCGTTTGCGATGATAAATGATGACTTTTACTCTTATGATCTATGAGAGCTTAATTAGGGCTTAATTAAAGCTAATGCTCAGAATCCTTTGGAAGGTGAAGCCATTACAAACTAACTTCCTCTCTGAATAGCCTGGGTTTGGAAAGTGTGTCTTTGCATTCCCCCTTTGGTGCCCTATCCAGTCCTCTCTAGGTCTTCACACCTAAGATAAAGCAAGAGCTAACTATTTTTGTATTAGAATTTCTTTAGGCAAGACTACAAGAGGCCAAGTGCCTGGTTGCATCTCAGCCTCCAGTGCAGTTAGGCAGAAGGTTGTCTTTGAATCTGCAAATCCAGCTCGCCATACACATGTCTCAGGGAGTCACTGGTCATGCTGGCTATCAGCTTCCGGGGGCCGGAGACCCAAGGCCGACACACTTCTTCCCATTGCACAGTGGAGTTGGGCCGAATTTCACTGAAAGGATGAAAAGAGAAGAAAGGTTTTACTTCCAAAAGTGGCAGATCCCATTTCTCACCTTGATCAGGAAGCAGTGAGAACTCCTGATCTCTTCTCTCAGCTGGTGGTGGTGGAAAGTTTGGCTGGTCCAAGAGTTACAACCTAAATAAGTTCCCTAAGAATGCTCTGCCACAGGGTCTGCCAGTGACAGTCCCTTGGGTCATGTTTTCTCCCTTTTGGATGCATCAGCATGTCTCTCAATATATGTGGTCCATGCAGTGTGTGCTGGAGTGGGGCTGAGCTGTATGAGCTACAAGTTAACTGAACTCTAACTTGTTCCCAAGCCTCCACAGTAGCCTTGTCGATGTGACTGACCTTCCTTGGCTGAATTTTTGACTCTCTAGTTCCCATCTGGGACTCAGCTCCTATCTGAATCCCCTGATGCCTTTGCTCAGGTGCTGACACTCTGATACGTTCTTATCAGCCCCCTTGGGATAGACCTTGTTCCCTGGCCCCAGGTCACAACCCTGCCTGCTACCCTTGAGTATCTGTATGTTCTGTGGTTCGTAATCCTGTTCAACCATCAGACTGGGTCCTCTGCCTATGTTGTTGCCTGCTCTACCTTTCTGCTCCTCATTTGTTGCCTGCTGATAGTGGTCTTGGCATTCCTCTCTCCCTCTGCAATCCATGCTCTGAGGCCTAAGCTTCATGGCCAAGCCCACTCCAGTGCTTAAGTAAGGTCAGTGTTGGGGGTATGCAGGCTTCTCTGGAGGGCTTCACATATATCACCCCATGCAGGCTTTAAAAGGAGATTATAGCAGGGTTTATGTGTATGATAGTCCCTTGAAGTAGATGTTATTTGACACATTTTAGAGTTAAGAAAAATGGAAAATAAAACAAGTGAAACAATTTTTACCAGATCACAGATATATTAATGGGCAGGAATAAGATTCAAACCCAGTTTTATCTGATTTCCAAATCCATGCTTTTTCTACTACTATATACTCTATTTCATACTATCTATATCTTATAAAAAGATGACATTTTGATCACTGTGCTTGCTTTTCCACCTGTTTGATTTCTAGAGCAAGATAGATACTTTTTTTATTCTGTACCAAGGGCTTCCTCCAAGTGTTGTTCATGAACTCCTGGTCTTTGCTCTCTGACTCTCAGGGAGGGCATGTGCTGGGTCGCTTAGCATGGGACCCTCGGCCTTTTCTGGGAGAGCATCAGGGAAATGAATGGAGGCCCCATGCATGTTTTGAAAAGAGGGAAAAAGGATCTAATTATTTTCAGGGTGTATTGAGGCACAGCATGTGAGAATTGGAAAGCACATTGACACGGAGAGTATAAAGGTCTCAATTAATTTGGTATTTGCTAACACTTTTTAAAATTTTTGTTCTTTATAAATGTGACAAACTATGTGAAAAGCACACACACATAACCTATATATGTATTTTTCAAAGTCAGTAAATTGATTTTATGATTCAAGGTTTAAAAATCACTGGCCTCACAATGGATTTCCTCACCAGTAAAAGGTGGACACTATGGAATATTGAATAGGATGTGAAGAGTTTATATTTGTACTGTCCTTAGAACTATGACAAGCTATCATAAATGCCAAGTGTTAAGTATGTGGTATTATTTTTGTTATCACCATAACTTTTATGGTTGCTGTTTGCTCTGCCTGGACCCTCTGCAAAATAATTTAGAATAAGTTCCTATTGCCTGTATGAAGAAAAACTGTTCTCCATCCTTAATTTATAGTGATTAATTCAATAGGTGTATAGGTTTTGAGACAATTATTTCTCAATGGCTATGTTAATTTACCCTGATCCATTCATTTTCTTTTCTCTGGTTTCCCCAAGTGATCAATCAGAAACATTTCATGGAATAGTCATCTTGCTCAAATATCTGACTTGGAGCTGGGTAATGCAGGTAAGTATTGGGTTGGCCAAAAAGTCCGTATGGCTTTTTCCACAAAATAAACGACACATTTTTCATTTTTACCAATAACTTTATTGATATGGTTATTTTGAGTATGTTGGCAATCTCCTGCTACTGGCTTCTAGTGGGTAGAGGCCAGGGGTGCTGCTAAATATCTTCTAATGAGTAAGACAGCCCCAGAGCAAATAATTATTTGGCCAAAATGTCAATAGTACCAAGAAACTTTGTGAACCACTTTTGACACATGTCATCAGTCACAACACTTTCTGTATACACCACACAAATATTTTTTTGTGTGTGTTTCAGTTGCATTTTTATCTTTTTGGAAATAATATAGCATAATATGCTGAAAATGTTGCATGTCTTCTTCCATCTTCAATATTAAAATAGCTCCACAAAAATTCACCAATTTTGATAAGTTTTTAAAAATGCACACTGATATGACAGCTGTCACAATACAATCTAACAGAATTGTTTTGAATGAAGTTAAAGACAACTAAGCACTACTAGAGACATTGCACAGAAAAAAACAAATGGACTTTTTGGCCAACCCAATACCTCAAAAAGAAACTATAGTCTCCAAGCTTTTCTTCATCATTTATGCTTGCTCATTAACTTGTCCACATGATGATATTCATACCTGTATCTCATACATGTATGTATATACAGTCATCATATATGAATATCACACAAAGATACTCATAAAAGAAGATACACATGCATGTCTAAGTATGCATTTACCTACAGATAAATAGATACAAAAAGAGAGAAATAAATCCTTTACCCATCTTGGTAAGTAGAGTAATACTGGAATAATTTCATTTGCCTGGAAATAGATGTGGTGATAAATGGTTCTCAGTAATGTGCTGAGCCATCAGGATATGCTGGCCATTTATCATCCTGAACACACGCAGGCAAATGGGATTATTATTACAATAAACTGCAACTCTCTATAGTTTGTCCTTTGTGTATCTAGCCCTCAGCTTCTGTCTTACTTGAAAAACTCAAAATTTAAATCAAAATCACAAAGTTGGGGAACTTTTCTCTTGAAATAACTCCCTGAACCTCATCATTTTTTTAAAAGAGAAAAATGAACTTGGAAGATGAATTATTTGATGTCCTGGGAGTATCAAGTGCAGCAACTTGAAAGCTGAGTGTCTGTGGGAGGATGATGGGGGAAGAGCAGGAAGGCAAGCCTTCTTGGAGTAGAACTGGCTTGTACCCGATCACGGAATGAGACACAGCACCCACTGCCTTCCTTGTTTCTAGTTCAATTCCCTGCTCACCGGCTCCCACCTCCCAGGCCTACTGCTTTGAGTAAGAAACCCCTGCCTTCTAGGATCCTGGCAGGGGTGTGGGTGGACAGGCGGAGCAGTGACTCTCTCGACTATTCACGATGGGTATCCTAGAAAGGAACACAGTCTTGTGAAGGATTCTGGTTTTACAGAATTGCCCCTTTTTAGGAGTCCAAGCTGTTATCTAAATCTGCCACTTTTAGTTCAGATCTTGGCAGCAGAAGGTACACTGGCATGTTTCTAATTAGCTGGCAATGGGGATGTGGGCACCGGCTGGCTCCAGGCTTGGTTGTGAAGGTGTGTGCTGGAGTCAGAAGGAAACAGATAAACTAATGCTCTCTCCAAAGTCCGAAACCCAGCCTAGATAATAAATATTTTCCAGTTTGTTGGCAGTCTCTGAAAAAAGGCTTCCCTGGTTTTGGAGAGATCTACCCCCTTCTTCCCAGGATCTGAATTCCCATAAGAAACTGAGGACCTGGTGTTCTGTCTGTTACTTATCTGCCATAGACAGATATATTGAAGTAACTAGTTATAGTACCTTAAGCAGAGTATGGGTAGGACATTTGCCTAGCGTCCATGTAGGGACTGGTTTCTTTCACCCTTTCATTGATTAACTCCATTTTGTCCGCCCCAATGTCAGATATTAGAAATAAACAATTCACTGGACACTCAACCTACTTTGAGCATCATACCTCCCAAATGGTGGGTCATTGCACTGTATGAGCATTAATTTTTCTTTTAACACATAATTTCTTTTCATGCATTGACTTTTGACCAAGGTAGGATTCTTGGCACAGCCCAAGTTTAAAGGTATCAGGAGGTTCTGGTATCCTCAGAAGAAACTTGTGCAATTACTGTTTGAGAAGAAAAAACGGGATACAGCAAGGGGCTGTTTTGAAGATGAAACGTGTTTCACTTTGCCTGAGCAATTTTTGCATCTGATTCTAGTGGGAAGGTGTGAGGATGGGTGAGTGAGACTATCATTTCTGACGAAAGTGGCACTATTATTGCTGACCTCTCCCTCTAGCTGTGGTTGATTTCTAATTTAATTCTTTTTTTTCCTCCTGCAACTTTCCTATTAGCACAGGAAGGTTGTTATGTTTTGTGCTTGCATATTTTTAAAGCACTCAAGTTATTTTCTCTGCTGTTTATTGCATCCACAATCATCAGGCATCTCTCAAACTATGGGAAGCAAAAGCTGTGGGCACCGTAATTTGAAAGAAATGCAGAGAGCCTTTAGTGGGCAAATTGGTTTTTAAAGGTGCCCCAGAAGGGGTGAAGGAGGCCTTGCAGTTGTCCCACAGATTTCAGAGCAAGGTAGCTTCTATAAAGGACATTGGGGAAATTCCTAACGTATCTGGTCAGCAGGCAGTTTCCAAAGCTTTCCACATCCCTTTCTATACTTTAGAAGGTCACTCCACAGGAAATTTGCTAGATTGATTGATCCTGGCAGGAACTTATTTGTGGCAGAAATGAAAGTAATAAACCTCAAAGATTGGGATCTGTTCTGGGTGTCACACTCTAAGGGAATCAGTGACAAATTAGAGTATGTGGGAGAGGGAGGGAGCTAAAACCACATTAGAAGTAAGAGGGATGAAGCCAGGGCAGTTAGAGAGAAGACTCAGGGAAGATGTGGCAGTTGTCTGTAAACATTTGCAAGCCATCAGATGGAAGAGAGTGGGCCTTATTCTATGTATAGGTCCAGATGACAAAATTAGGTTCAAAAAGTACAATTGTTTTCTAACAATTAGAGTTACCTGACCATGGAATGGTCCGTTTTTTTGGGTGACAGTCTTTGTCAGAAGAGGTCACAGAAGCTGAGAATTGTATGGCATAACCTGATGGTGTTAGGTATGAATGAAGCAGTGTCATTATGTTATTACAGAGCCTGGGTTAGTCATTGGTTCCCTGACTAGGGAACTAAATCTACAACTTTTCAGGCTTACCTTTATTCTACTGAGAGCAATAGTTCTAGAAAGAATGCTTGGTTGGTAAAATCTGGGAGCTGGAGTTGGAAAGAAAGGATCCAAGAAAAGGAACACCTAAGGAATAACTTTATATTTGACACATAGTACATACTCAATGAATATTAGTCAAATTGTTACATGAGGAAGTAGTATGGCAAAATGCTTGAAACTTGGGTTCTGCAGTCAACCACCCTGAGTCCAAATCTTGGTGCTACTCTTATAAGCTGTGCACCTTGAGGCAAGCCAGTTGACCTCTCAAAGCCTCAGATTTCTCTCTTAGTGAAGGGAGATAATAATGGTACCCACATCATTTGGGTGGTTTTAGGGATTAGAAAATGGGAGTGCCTATCAAACCAAACCTAGTTTTGGCCCATGCCCCACAGAACTGCCAGTAAGGAAGTAGGAGCTTCTCAGACATTTTCACTGGGAATTAGACGTAAGTTGGGAAAAGACACACAGAGAGAAAACTTCCCGGAGTCCCACATCCCCTTCCTACAACCCCCAGCACATACCGGAACATCTTCCTCATTGGTTTTATCACTCCAGGACCATCCAGGCGTATCCAAACATTTTGCAGAGTTTCATTTAAAGGATTGGTGAACTCAACGGTCACAACCATGTCATAACCAACCATTTTAGCTCCACGGACCTGAGAAATGAGTTGGGGGAGAATGCAGCTCATTAGCAGCATATAAACCTCTCTCTGTTCTCCTATGTCCTTAAGCACCTTCACTTCTGCTTTGGTTTTACAGTAGGATTATTTTTTGGCAGTGGAACCGGTGTGATGAGGATTATTTACTGCTTTGACTGGGAGATACCTATTGAGAAAAAGATGGAAAATTACTAATTAGAATCATACTCTTTTCCTCATTATAAAACCACCCTAATTAGAGCTCAGGTTAATAGCCTGGCTACCGGCTGCTCTTTGTCAGCAGGAAGTGGAAATGCACTTGGTGTAGCAACAGATTTCCATGGTGAGGGCAGCAGGGCCAACTCTGCTTCTGGATAGGGCTCAAGTTTCCTGTCAGGATTTTGGGGGATTCCTGAGTTCAAGAGGAAAAGGTGCTCCAGGGGGCCTGTGCCTTTTCACTATTAGAGACACTGTGGAGAAATATGTCCAAGAAGGGAGTCCTCATTGCTGAACTTGAAGGAAAGGAAGCTGGACACTAAAACAGTCAGAAGAGGCTTTATCTACAGCTACAACATCTGAGTCTGGGAGGATGTGAGGCTATTTGTGGGTGAATTTATCCATGAGAAATCCTAGAAACATCAGGTATCTGGCAGGAGATGACAGAGTTCAATGCCAGCTTTAACACTTCCTAGCAGTAAGACCTTGTGACTTCCTCAACCTTTCTGAGACTGTTCCCTTTTCTCTGAAATAGACTGACATTTCCATGGGGTGATCTATGGAGAATGCTATTATTAGTAGTTGTTTTGATGCCATGTTTACTCTGTGCCAGCACTGTGCCACACATTGAGAGCTATATGCTTCTGCAACACCAACACAATGTGCTGGAAAATGGCCTTTGCTTGTTTGCTTAGGGGCTGGGTATCCCAAATGGATGGATCTCTATACATGCTAAGTAACTTGGGAACAATATAATAAAAGGTCTCCCTCATAAGAAAGGGGTAGAATGAGATAATATGTAAAAAGCAGCTACCATACTGCATAGACCCTCCTTTTTTGAAGTGGCAATGCTTAGAGTAGTTTGTTTTATTCACCTTATATTCTAACCCACTTTCTACTCCAATATGTAGCCAATGCCCAGTAAATATTTGTTAGATTAGGTTGACTGCTTAAAAAAGGAATTTAATGATTATTTGATTTTTCTATGTAACAAACCATTATTATACCTTATTTCTTTAAGCAGTATGTATAATATAGGAAATAGCATGTGGAAATGAACCTTTCTTATGAAGGAGCAAGAACAGTATCCAGAGAAGATGACTCTACAATCAAGAATAGAACTTTATGGTTTTACTTTTTAAGATGCAGTTTATGACTAAATCTGTATTTATGGGATCTTTCAACTCTGCAAGAAAAATAAAAATTGCAGTCAATTCCCACGCCCCCATCTCCTGGGGTGGGATCGATGGAGAGTAGGTTCAGAGGAGTCAGGAGTGGAGCGGACAGTGATCACGATGCTGACTACAGCTGACGTCACCGACAGAGCCCAGACTGCGGGCCAGGCAGTGTGTTCAGCACTGTAGCCCATGGTTTTCAGCCTGGCATGCACAACAGAATCACTTGGAGATCTTTAAAATTACAGACGTCTACGCCCACCCCAAGCAATGACATTAGAATTTCAGGTGGTACAGCCTGTCTACTTCAAACACCCCTGTTGATTTCTAAGACTAACTTAGAAAACTGCCCCCAACCCCAGTTGCAAATTGCTGATGCAGACAAAATATTTGGAAGACAGACTGGATTTTTCCTTTTTCCCATATGTCCTGACTCTATCACAGATTTTGGAGGTATAGAAGTGCATTATGATACTACTTCACATGATACCCTAGGTTTAATTCTCAAGTATGTCCAGAATATATTTCCTAAGTTGAAAAATTTTTTTCAGAACATTTTTGCATTTTTAAAAATACAAACTAAAGATAACATTTACAAAAACTGTCTAAATTTGAGAAAGTGGGGCTGCTTCAGAGATACTATTGGTAAAAGTATTTGCTCTGGTCACCTGATTAAGCTGGGGGGGAATATTTTGGAGCCATCTGCCTTCACTTGCATGCTTTGATAAGTCTGAGCACAAGCCCCTTAAAAATATCCAATAATAACTACTGACTCTTCCTCCACACAGGCATACACAGTGACAAATATAAGAGACAGGCACAACTCACATGTAGTTTTAGGGGAGTCATTTAGGTAGACCCATATCATCTGTCCATGGCCCTCTGGGGCTCATGGGCTCCAGGTCGAGAGTCATTTCCATACTGGTGGGCGAGCTCTACAGGGAGATCCTGGGGCTGTGGAAAGCCAAGTGTACCTTTCCAGGTCGCTGATGACAGTGGTGGAGGATTAGGTATTTAAAAGGTTGGCCTATGTGTTTGGGCCTTCATGGATAGGTTTTAGATCTGACTATATTTAGAAGAGTAAGTCTTCTCAGGTAATTTCATATGTCATGCCTAATCAGTTTGCTTCTAGAGATTACCTTTACAATTAGCTGCTGACAGGGGTATATACATACTGCCCAGGCTTCCCTGATGCTGGAGGGGGGAGGAAGATGGGGAGGGGTGGGAGATGAAAAAAAAAAAGAGGCTGTAGATTGTTTCTTTTGTGATTAATGGACTCAGTGCCCCTTTTCTGACATTTGTCTCCTGTACCCAAATTTAAACTTCCTTTGCCTAACTACTGAGATGATAATGAGCCTTAAAACTCAAACCAAACCAAATACAAAGGACTGCCTAACATTTAACATCACTATTTTTTGTTTAGGAATTTAAGTGGTGATATTTTCCTCCATTCTTTTGAGGAAAATGGAGCATACACATAGTATTTTCATATCGTGTGTTCATTTAAGTGATGTGTCATGTGATGGTATCTGTGAAATGCTGTGAATGATGACTGTTGTGGGTGAAAATGTCTGTTCAAATCTAATTTTTTAGGGAATCTGCACTGCTTTCCTTCAATGCTGTAAAAAAATAATTCCATATCCACATAATTATATTTCTGATTTTCTTGTTTTCATAAAACCTTAAGTAAAGGGAGCCTTTAACAATCCAGAGATGGTTAGATTAAGATGACACTTTTGTGTACATTCCCCTTACAGAAGAGAAGCTATTACTTGAACCAGAGAAAAGGATAAAGTTTATGTCATAATTGGTGACATTAAATTCTTTTCCTTGTGTTTGATGATGCCGATTCTCTAAAATTTAAATATATCTGTTTTGAAAAGTTGACAAAATATGCTTACCAAGGTAAACATCATTCACCAATATTGATGTACTGAATTCTTGTCTTTTATGCTATTTCATGATAATGAACAACTTATGATCCTTTAGGAAACAGGAAAGTTACTGACACACATACACATACACAAACTTTGGGAGGATAATTCTTTTTAGGAAATCACAAGATCTCTTCCATGGAGTATATGCTTTACAATATACAAAGCTATATTCAAAACTGAAACTGAAATGAAGGAAACATCTGAGAAAGAATGAATATAGTTGGCAATATGATTCATATGATTTATGAATTCACCTCACAGCCCTTACTTCCGGTGCTTTCAATCATTTGTTACATGTATTGCTGGAAGATGAACTTTTTCTCCTCCTCAGCCTGTGATCACTGCAGGTAATAGGCAGCTGCCTGTTTGTAAACTGTGGTCCTTGGAGCCGGCACCACTACTGCTATTAGCTAACACACTTACGTTGGCATTTAATAAACAATGCTAATGGTTTAAGATAGCCAGAAAGCCCTGGCCTGTATGGTTCAGTTGGTTGGAGTGTCGTCCTGTAAACTGAGTGGTTGTGGGTTCAATTCCTGGTCGGGGCACGTGCCTGGTTTGTGGGTTTGGTCCCCAGTCAAAGCACATATGGGGCACGTACGAGAGGCAAACAATTGATGTTTTTCTCTCACATCAATGTTTCTCTTCCTCTTTGTCTCCCTCTCTTCCCCTCTATCTAAAATCAATAAGCATGTTTTCAGGTGAGGATTAAAAAAAAGAGATGGCCAGGCAATGTTCTACATCTGCTCTGTCTATTATGGTGGCCATTCACAACATGTGGCTATTTAAATTTTAAATTAATTGAATAAAATTAAAATAAAATTAAATAAAATGAAAAATTCAGTTCCTTAGTTGCACTAGCCACATTTTAAGTACTCAGTAATTACACGTGGCTAGTGACTATTGTATTGGACAGCACAGGTTTAGAATATTTCCATAATCATAGAAAGTTCTAGTGAATAGTATTGTTAAGTGATTTATGTATATTAACTCATTTAATCCTCACAACTGTATGAGATAGATACTATGAGTCTTCATTTTACAGATGAGGGAAGTGGGGCACAGAGAAGATAAGTCACTTGTTCAAGTTCACACAGACAGTAAGTAGGGGAAGGAAGTGAGGCTTAAATGCAGACACTCTGGTGCCAGAGTCATTGTTTAACTGTACTCCTAGACTGACTCTGATTAGTAATAATAATATTAATAACTTACGTTTTTTAGTGTTCAGTTAGTAATGCAGGTGTTCTGCTCATCATTTCGTTTGTATTATCTTATTTAATCCCTACAGCCCTATGGGTTTGGTAGTAGACATGATCATTTCATATTGCATATCACATTCCACTGATGTGAAATTGAAACTTAGAAGGTAAACAAAATGCCCAAGTTACCCAGCTGGTAAGTTGGTAGAACCCAGATATAAATTGAGGTCTTTCTGACTCCAAAATGTTCATATTTAAACACCACATACATTGTAATCTCTCACACAACGGAGGCAAAAACAGTAACTTCTTCTTTGCTGGCAATAACATCATTATATTCTGAAATCCACTGAGGAATCATTTGCTGTATTACTTTACATTGTCACTAAACTACCAGTTGAGTGCAATGATTATAACTTGACCCTGAACTAAATTTGAAAACATATATACAACCAACTTTTTTTTTTTCTTTTTGACATTATGGGGAGAGA